GAAAATTAACCCCCGAGCCACACTCGGGAATACCGCCAAGGAGGTTAAAGGTCAGAATTGCAACGGCAGATGCTGTGAATGGTTTCTGTTAAAGGATGTGGTGATGGCTACCTTGTGCACGTAAAGGGTTTACTGCTTGGGTAGATTGCCCTTCTAGCATTCACTTTCAGTCGGTTGGCACTTAGATTGCTGTTGAGCTGGAAATTCTCTGCACAGGCTAAGAGTGTTGTAGGTAGGTGCCACAATGGCCACTAGATGCCCCCATGGGGCCCTGGAGATAGATGCAGCTCTGGCCTGGGGAGACTCTGTGTACCAGGAGAGCTGATTTATAGGGGGCGCCCGAGAGGGGAAGACAGTTCTGTTCCGGAGTTCAGTACAGGAGAGCAGAAGTCTAAAAGTCTATGCAGAGTCTCCGGAGGGAGACTGATTCTAAAACATAGGCTGGTCCATGGGAAGGACAGGACCAGGCCTAGGACTATGTAGAGCTATAGAGATTCCCCAGTTTCCCCTGGAGGGGGAAACCACCGAGCTAGGACTGACAAGGATGGGATTCCGGAGAATAGTGAGGAGCTGTAAGTAAGTCGTGGACTCTGGGCTGCACCCGGGCTATTCTTCTCTCTCTCTAATTTGTATCACCAAGCAAATAACAAGAACTGTGCCATCATCCCATTCGGGGATGGCTGAAAGGTATGCTTCATACCATGTTCATTCTTTCAAGTAAAATCAAGAAAAGACTATCTGTGTGGAATGGTTCTTCTCCCTCCAACCTCTGAGCTGGTGGGGTTCTACAGGAGCGAGATGTTGGACTGTATCGTGGCCGTAAACCATCCCGAGGAGGGTAGGTGTGCAAAGGGGCTATGGCCAACACAGGGTGCCGTGCATGGTGGCCTTTCTCCCTAAGGGGGAGGAAGCGCTGAATACCGCAGAGGCGGTGGAAGCCATGAGGACCCTGTGTGCGCAGTACTACACGTGTGGGAGTTGTTTGCACGAGGCCAGAGCCAAGGCCCCTGACCGTGGGGTGCCTGGTGTCGTGTTGCATACAAGGGGTTACCAGAGCCAACCCAAAGGGAACACACACGCAACACCCCAAGAGTGAACCCCGCCTACAGTGTGATGCGTCACTGTTGTAGGATCCGGGAGTGTGATCATCACACTCCTCTCTACTCAACCCAAAGACATTCTCAGTTAGCTGTGGCCGTCATGAAGTTAGCAAGTAGCCCAACTGTCTATCCTTCCGAATCTCTTAAGGAGCCAAATGACAAAGCAGACGAGAAGAGCTACTTGGCTGGGTGTGAAGATCTCCTCCTCTATAATTGTGGATGTAGAGACAGAGTTGTTTGTTTTGTTTGTGTTGTTTGCCAAAATCCTTATAGAGTCAGACGAGTCGTGCCGTAGCTGGGACGCGCCCTTTGGTCTGACTTTCCAGCCCCCTGCTGACAGACAAGAGTTAGTCGCAGTGTACTGAGGAATTTATCACTGACAAGAGGATACAATCAGCAGGTTCACAAGTATCTCATCTCTGTCCTGGTTGACTTCTCTGCTCTCCTATTATTTTGTGTTGTTGGTGTCTAGGATTGTGGCTCATACCAGACTCATCATTCACGCACCTGAATAGGGCTTCCCATCACACACACCCGAAATGTTAGTGGATATACATTGGTTATGATTAGAGGCTCCGACAGTTGTCAGGTATAAAACACAACAGAACCTGGACATAGACCACTTACAGCAACATCTGTGGGTAGGTTCAAATCAGATAAGAGTTTATTTAACACTTGTGTGGGGGGAAGTCAGTTTACAAGTCAGAAAACCCCCCACCTTGTGATCATATAGGTTTTATAACATTCAGCATAAAAAGATCAGGTTTTAACATCATTGGTTAATAGCGACTAACAATTTCATATCCATCCAGTCATTCAGTAACATCACATCAGAGCCCGTGTACACCGGATGTGTTCTACAAGATAATGCTGGCCGGGTGTTGGACCATCTGGTGGCTGTAGATGTTTTCTGAGTCTTACAAAAGCAGCTGTCCCAAGGTTCCCGAGGCCTGTACTCATGGAGTACACAGGGGCTATAGAGATATAGAAGAGAAAGCCACTCCTCTAGCACTCAAAGTCCTCCTCCTGGTGGTGGGACAGGTACTCCTCCTGAATAGGACAGCAGCTTCCTATAACCGTGGTTGAGGAAAGGTTCAAAAAGGACATTAGAGGATGAACAAGACAAAGCCTGGACTGTAGACTGGACCAGTTAGAACAGGGGTAGCCAAACGCCGGCCCTCCAGCTGTGGTGAAACTACAAATCTCATGATGCATCTTACATAGTTACATAGTATTTGAGGTTGAATAAAGACATTAGTCCATCAAGTCCAACCTATAGGATCTTATTCCTTGGAGTACTACTTGTACCCCTGTATATTACTTGTACCACTGTATATTACCTGTACCCCTGTATATTACCTGTACCCCTGTATATTACGGTCCCTTAAGAAATCGTCCAAAAGTTTCTTGAACAATTCCACATTCTTTGCTGAAATCACTGCCTGTGGAAGTGAGTTCACATCGGACTATAGACTATAGAAACCTGTGAATGTTCTTACAATAGTTCAACAAGTTTTTTTTTTAAATTACCTTGACCTTTAACCCTTGTATTTTCCTTTAAATGATAGAAGAAATAGCGGGAGCATGGCCTCAGGGGTCATCCTCTGATTATAATATTTAATGTGAGAAGACTGTCCCAGGAAGTCGGGAGATGAACACACCCCACTACGTGTCTTGAATTCATACAGCTTTCTATGGAGGTTCAATTAGAGAGAGACAGTCTGGGTTGTCTTATTGGAAAGGACACACTTACAGTATCTGTGTCACAGAGCCATTGAAGAGCCTGGCATTAACATGTCTATACACTAAAGGGTGAAGAGTTTGGAGAAGGCCGGAGAAGTGAACAATCTAGGACAACATAACTGAAGTGGAAAGTGAGATGAATTGGAAAATTTTTGCAAAGCAGCTATTTTGGCCTACAGATTATTCACACCTACCCTTCTAGAGTCCAAGGCCCACCTCTATAGTATGCCTCTACTACATAGCATTCCATGTTGTCCTAGATTGTTCACTTCTCCAAACTCTTCACCCTTTTGTGAATAACCCTGTAATTGTTTTATTCGTAAAATGAAGATCTTATACAAGTATTGAACACGTTCAGAAAAAGAGCGCTACCCGAACCAGAACATGTTCAACAAGAGACTTCTAAACATAACTGACCTCATCTTCTCTGAATGGAACGAGAGTTCTCTTCAACCTTGTGACCGTTTGCTTTTTTTTTAAAGATACATTCTGTTGTAAAATATAGAAAATAAGAATGCCGGGACAGTCTGAAAACCCCCCAAATGGCCCCTTTCTGAAAAGTAGACCCTCCTAGGTGATCTGACGTGCGGAGTGTTTGCATCCCTGAGATGTGATTAGTGAGCTCTGATACCAAACACTAGGGATGCACAGATACTTTTCGAGTACCAGTGCCGATACTTGGCGTTTTCATGAGAACTACCAGGGTTGCAGCGGTTGCAGCGGTTGCAGCTGGGACCGGGCTCTGGCGCTCCACCACTGTCCTGAAATCATTAGTTTGTATTGTTTTAGAAAAACTGTCACATGACAATAAACAAAAATGTACCAGTACTCGTACTCGCAAAACTGGTATCTGTGCATTTCTTTATTTATATTTATAAAAACAAAATCGTACATTAAAACAGAGATGTACAAATCCCGGGAGCTCCGTGTGCTCCTTACAAATGACAGCTGCCTCCTAATTTTTAAATTTTTCTCTAGTGTAGTCTTGGAGCTCAAAAGTATCGGTACCTGTACTTGTACCGAGTACTGTACTTGGTATCTGTGCAACCCTACCAAACACCGACCAACCCAAGTCACCAGTGGCGGCTCCAGTATTTCTATCCTCACAGGTTCATGTTCTGAATTTTATATTCAAGTAAAAATAAAGCAGAAAACCCAACAAGAGAAATAATACAATTCTGTAGGATGCAGACCGGTCAGTGTGTGATCATATATTTCCAGTATGTGTCTCCTTTATATGTCCTGTACATCCCGGGGAAGGTGAGAGCTCTATGCTGCTCTGTACAGACACACACCGGGTTATACCGGTCCCCTTCCTCTGCCCCCCAACCTGCTCTATTGTCACCCTTCACCCCTCTACAGAAAAGTCCTCTGACACTCTCCCCTCCCCCTCTTGTGTGATGGAGCCGATCTCCATGAGTCCTCCCAGAGCAGACGGAGCTCATCACCCACCACCATCTAACAGACCCCATTTCTGTCCTTCCCATCCCCGCAGATGTTGTCATGTGACCTCTCCTAGATGTACAGAGGGTGCAGTGTGGTAACTGGGATGAGGATGTAGTCACCTCTCCTCTCTGTTCTGTGTGTCTTCCTTCTATCTCTGATGTCACCACTGACATTGCATTAAGGACAGGAAGGAGAGGTGACCCCATCCTATCCTATCACAGTGACCCCACTGCATCCTCTGTACTGATGGATCATCTCTTCCATATGTCTGATCATGACTGCACATAGTGCACACATGAGGAGGAGGGGCAGAACATAGAGGGAGGGGCAGAACATAGAGGGAGGGGCAGATCATAGGAGGAGGGTGAAAACATAGGTGAAGAGGTAAGAGAATGGAAATTAGTAATGCAATATGATAACTTAAGGTTTGGCAAATTAAAGGGAAATCAATATATCAATTAAAGGATAGATAGATAGATAGATAGATAGATAGATAGATAGATAGATAGATAGATAGATGCCGATACCTCGTTGACCAATAGAAAAAATCCCATCACTATAATTGGACAGTTATTCCAGCCAATCGCAGCAATCGGTGAGGGTGGAGATGGAGTAATCTCACAGCATTATATTTATAATAGAAAATGCTGCAGGACAATTAGCTGAATATTCCTCTAATGCCATCCCCCTCCCCCTCTGACATCCCCAGACTGGACGGGGTTCTCAAATCTCCCGATTCCCCCCACAGATCTTTATACAACCTCCCCCTACACATACCCCGGCATGGAGGGGCTCAGTGAAGGTGGTGGTGAAGGTGTGGAGGTGTCGGATCGGGTCACACAGATCATAAAAGGAGATCCGCCCGGCCTCATAATCCAGATATATCCCGACTCTGTTACTGGAGATATTGGGGGTAATCGGATCTCATTACTGTCATATATCACTGAATACTCATCACCTTCCCTATCCAAACCCCAGGACTTGTTATTCCTTCCAATCACTGACTCCCATCCTCCTCCTCCTCTCCATACTGGGGTAACACACCCCGACTCTCCAGCTATCTGATCCCCCGACATCCACTTCCCAGTAATGTCGCCCTGAGGAGAAACTCCGACTGCTCAACCCCTGAGGACAATACTGAAATCTCTCTGGTGTATCTGGGTGATTCTGGTTTATATCTGACCTGGTTACAGTTTTCCGGTCACCTGATATCTGTAGATTATTACCAGCTGTGCTCACATCCAGTAATATGTCTTCAGCTTCCTGCATATAGAAGGATACATTTACCTCTGTTATTATATCAGATAAACCTGTGTGTAATGTGTGTGAGAGCCCAGCCACATCCAGACCCCCTCCATCATGGAGGAGTCTATCATGTCTCTCTCTGTCCTCATCATCTCCATCCTCAGTATCACACAAGTCACCTGTGTCTGATCCCTGTAAGACAGTCAGTGGATCCGTCAGGTTACACAGCTCCTCAATGTCACGCATCTTCCTGGACAGCTCGTCCTTCTTTATTTCCAGCTCCTGGATCATATCCAACACGGAGATGGAGGTCCGCTCGGCCCTCCCGGAGATCTCACTCAGGGCTCTCTTCTCCAGATCTTCCAGACGTCTCCTGAGCTCTCTAAACATGGCAGAGACTCTCTCTGTGTCACCGGCTGATTTTTCTTCTACTTCCCTCCTGTGTCCCTGCAGACTCTGGACTCTTTCCTCCGTCTCCTCTCTCTTTGTCAGAAGTTTCTGTAGAACATTCCTCAGTGTCTCCTTCTTCTTCCCAGAAGCCTCATCCAGAGACTCCATCTTATGACCGGTGTGACCTCCAATCAGACAGCAGGACACACAGACACAGATATCATCCTCAGAGCAAAAATACTTAAATACTTCCTTATGAACGGAGCACTTCCTGCTCTCCATGGACAAGGTGGGGTCACATAAGACGTGTTCTGGAGACTTTTTGTGGACTCTCAGGTGTTTATCACACAGAGAAACCTCACAGAGCAGACAGGATCTAACAGCAGGTACAGGAGAGTCCACACAGTGAGTACAGAGGACCCCGGACTCCTCCTGATCTGGCTGAGCAGACAGGAAATTCTCCACTATGTTACGCAGTTTTCTGTTCCTCTGCAGTGCAGGCCGCTCCCGGAACTTCTCTCTGCATTCAGGACAGGAATAACCTCCGAACCCCTCCTGTGTATCCAGCACACGATCAATACAGAACCGGCAGAAGTTGTGTCCACATTTCAGCATTACAGGATCTGTATAAATGTCCAGACAGACGGAACATTCCAGCTCGGCTCTCAGATCAGCAGACGCCATCGCTGACAGCAGAAGAGGGAAGTGAAAGTGAAAATCTTTGACACGGGGAGGAATGCAGTTTAGTGTTTCATATTTACATACACAGGGCGAGGCTGAACTTTGGCTTACACTGTATTCATAGGATTAGTTATATGGAGAGAAGCAGATAATAAAAGGATTTCATACAGAACAATGGACCTGTATGGGGAAAACAATACACTGGATATTGAAATGTGTTTACTTCCTATGAAATCCTCTTCACTCAAATAAGTAAATGTCTCAGCAAGGATGGAGCAGAGTCCTCCAGCAGAGTATATCAGGAAAGGAGAGTTATAGAGGAAGGAGCAGAGTCCTCCAGCAGAGCAGAGTATATCAGGAAAGGAGAGTTATAGAGGAAGGAGCAGAGTCCTCCAGCAGAGCAGAGTATCTCAGGAGAGGAGAGTTATAGAGGAAGGAGCAGAGTCCTCCAGCAGTGCAGAGTATTTTAGGACGAGAGTTGAAGACAGGAAGGAGCAGAGTCCTCCAGCAGAGCAGGTGTGAGGAGGAGGTGTCTCTGTGTTCTGATTCTGAAGCTGCTCCAGATCCAATGTGTGAGAGGGGAGTATGATCCCAACTATTCCAGCACTCGTGTCTTCTTTTTGAGGAACAGTTAATGAACCCATAGCAGTCAGCACCGCTTTCTCCAAGCAGTAAGGAAGGGTTCTACGGCTGTCAATTGCTAGCAAATCAATAGAAAAGATAATACACCGGCACTCCAATGGCAAATCATAAACGCCCGTTTATTGACGTATATGCAGCATAGTCAATACACTTAGTGCAACGTTTCGGGGTCACAAGGATCCCCTTCATCAGGCATAACAAGTGATACATATGCAGGTGACTTCTAGTGAATAAATACACACCACCATGTGAAAAGCAACCAATCATGGGACCTGCAGTGATCATGTGACGTTGTGATGACATCATAATCCTGCCAAATATTCAAATAAAAAACAGTAATTGCGCATTTAAAACAGCAGATCAGTGTCATAACACGTGTAGCGCCCATCACCTTTTGTGATGTGACTACCATGCATTTAGTGATAGCCGGGGGTGTAGACAGCCTGGCTGGATTTTTAGCAGCAAGTACATGGTTAATTTCCAGGTGTCTGACCTTGTCTGTGCCCCTGGGTGGAGTGTCACATTGTGGGACAGCCAATAGGTGACACTATAATGTGTGTACAGAGCAGCAGCAAGTTACTGGGCTTCTTGCAGCCAGTGGGGCCTGCTGACAAAGTGTACATATATGGGTGGGGGTGCCATGTGCTAGTCTCTCGCCTGGACCAGCCATGGATTAGGGCTGGGTCCTGTTCAGCCTGCCCCCAGGCTAGGCCGAGGCCTGGGGGTGGGGATTGGCTGAGCTGCCGAGGGAGAGGTTTCCTTGGAGGCTTCCAACTTGGAGAATGACTGAAAGATAGAAGAACCAGGACCAGTGCGGGACCTTGAAGTGCCTTGGATTTATGTGGACTTCAGAGCGGGGTCGGTGTTCTTTCATGGATTGTGGATGTGTATTCCCTTGAAGATAAGATCCGGTGAGTCTGGAGCTAAGGAGGCCTGTGCACCTAGACCCTATACCCTCTCTCACACAGAGTACGTTCAATAAACTGTTCAAGTAGCATCATAATCCTGAAGTGGACATCAATTTATGGGCGGTTAGTGCTAATGGGTACGGCCGAAAATCAAACCCTAGACTGACTAGATGAGGACCGGGCAATCAGCGGCTCCCTGCGGGGAGTTATCGCAACACACGTAAGGACTATGATCAAAGGCATAATTCAGATATACATAAAAGATTGATGACATCCTGGACTCATTGTGAGACACAGGGGAGAAACATCAAGTACAGTCAGAACGTTATATAATAGAAGCTGTTTATCAGTACCCAAAGGACGATGTCACGTGGGGGTTGCTGGAACACGCACAAGTCTGCTGATATGGATGTGAAGAGAGAGCCCGCAGCGTCAGAGTGACGTGAACCGGGTCACTCCCCTAGAGCCGTCGGTTTTGCCTGTTATGCCTGATGAAGGGGATTGGAAGGGTAGAATGGCGGCCGCAAAGACCCTATCTCCGAAGACGAACCATAGTGCGCATGCGTGCACAACCGAAGGTGTGCGGGAAGACACACAAACAGCAGGTGCACAGGAAGTGACATCTTACCTCATAGGTGGCTATATAAAAACAAGCCTGAGCTCACAACATTGCTGATGGTCTTGTCAGCTAGTGCTTCCTGTTGATTTTGCCTGTGACCTGTTTTGACATGGATTGTCTTGGACCACTCTGCTGCTTGCTGCCTGTCCCTGACCTTGGCTTGTTTCCTGGACTTCGCTCTTGCCTTCTGATTCGGTACCTTGCTGCCCGGCTTTCTCTGATCCTTGGCTTTCTGGACAACTATTCCTGTCTCCTAAATCTGTTCACACGCTGCCCGCCCCGGTACTGATCTTTGGCCTGCTGACTTCACTACTAGACGTCCCCTGCACGGTGTCTGCTTCCATCCGAGGCACTCGTGCTCCCCGCTGTCCTGCAGCCTTCTGTTCCATCCCCAGGGGTTGCAGGACACGAGCCGCAAGAGAAGCTTCCACATCTTCCGGTCTCTGCCTCAGGTACGTGATAGGGATCCTTTGAGGCCCCCGAAATGTTGCACTAAGTGTATTGAATATGCTGCATATATGTCAATAAACAATTGTTTATGATTTGCCATTGGAGTGCCGGTGTATTATCTTTTCTATTGATTCGTAATGGTTGCCAGCCATTGACAGCCCTAGCACCCTTCCTTACTACTTGGAGAAAGCAGTTCTGGGTTCATTGACTAGATCCTGATCTTGGCCTTACCCATTTGCAGCACCCTGCTAATACTCCAACCTGGAAAAGGTCTTAATTTCACATCACGAAACTGACAGCACATCTGGACCATTTTTCTACATGGATGAACAGGCACGGTTGCTAACAACTAACTGCAGAGGAACATACAATAGAGGCGATTCTGTTTCCAAAGAGGAAGGGGTCGCCCCAGACCAAGAGGAGCTCCTACCATTGCCTCATCCACTGACAGAGAACGTCCGACAGGAAACTCGTCAACCAACAGTGATCAAGGTCCATCTGCTGGGCCTTCGCAACAAGGTGATATCACACATCCTTTTCGGCTTACAGGCCTGTAAGATGTTTTATTTTTGCGGGATTATGATGTCATCACAACGTCACATGATCACTGCATGTCCCATAATTGGTTAATTTTCACATGGTGGTGTGAACTTATTCACTAGAAGTCACATGCATATGCATCACTTGTTATGCCTGATCCTTGTGACCCCGAAACGTTGCACTAAGTATATAGACTATGCTGCATATACGTCAATAAACGAACATTCATGATCTGCCATTGGAGTGCCGGTGTATTATTTTTTTTCTTTTTGAGGAAGCCACGGAGGCCAGCAGAGTTTCTCCTGCTGGGAGGTCTCATCCATCTTCTGGGATGATGGGTGAGATGCCGGCATTGGTACAACCAAATGCAGGCTCTGGTGATCTGTCCGCTGCTGGTGAAGGTGAAGGAGCAGAGTCTATTCGGGGAGAGTGGTGGCCGGGATAAGGATCCTGAATAAGGAGCGGGACAAGAGCCGAGGTAACACGACTACCGGAGCAGCATGAAGGGCTATTTAGCCAGAAACGTGGCTCCATGGATTCTGAAATCCAGTTGGTAGAAGACCAGGGGGAGCACCAGGAAACCACTGTGGCCATGCTGGAAGGCAGAGATGGGCCATTTAAAGAGAAATTGAGGAAAGACAGGCAATGACAAAGATGGAAATGGAAGAGAACATACCAGAGGACATGACTGATAAGGTAAAGTCTACCATATGTGACTCAGACTTGATACAGTGACCAGCGCTGACAGTTTACCTTCTCTGCCTGATC